GCAGCTGTGAAGTCAACGAAGAGGCGGTGCGTGTCCATTCTCCTTTCACGGGTCTTTTCCAAGATTTGGCGCATGTTGAATATGTGGTCAGTTGTTTCAATCGCTTGGCCGGCAATCCATCGTCCCCACCGCTTTATTGTTCTTCATACGGGTAATTGCTATTCGGATTTCTTCATAGTTCGGCAATGAACGTCTGCTCCATCGTCATCGATTGTGGTATCGGGTTCACCTCCTACTGGTGTTATGCCTTCACAGCTATTCAGCAGGCTGGTGAAGTATTCCCTTCAAAAYTTTAGTATRCTCTGGGCATCGGTTACTAGATTACTTCTGGGGCCTACAAAGGTATTCTCCGGTCGCATATGCTATTAGTTTCACATTCTATAAGAATGRGCCTAACACTRAGCATTGGGGTACTTTACTCGAGAYRGAGTAKCTTTTGTTGCCCTCGTTCGTATCAAAAATTAGCCTTCTATTTTTAAAATACTCGTTATAATGTTCAAGAGGTATTCAGGGGCCCATATTTCATGCAGAGCTTTGATTATGTGTACATATTTTGCAGTGTGGATCATATTATTGACATCCAGTGTAATCAGTGCACAGTGCTCTTTTGGTATAAAGTGTATGTTCATAATTAAGCTGATACTCGAGCCCGAAACGTTAAGAGAAAATTGAAAAATGCAAAAAGTAATAAACCAAAAAGCTCGATTATTCCCATTATTTCCAACTTCCACTCATGAGACCATTAAGTGCCGAAAATTCACGATTTGCAACGAACCTGCGTTTATTAGAGAAATTCGCTAATACCGCCACGGCGCTTCGCATCGAGACCAGCGCTACCGCCCTAACACACTCGTTAAACTCCACAGCCAATGAATTGCTACACCGTTGTCGTTGCGACAATTGTTGGGTAAACAGAAATTAAATCGTCATAAATTCATCGCCCAAATGCAGCAAACGGCAAACGAGTCAAATGGCCACAGATAAGTAACTAAGTGAGTTGCATGTCTAACTGCAGTCTGGCAGGTGATAGTTGAAAGTTTTGTTGGCAATTTGTTCCCGCAAAAGCACGCGATCGCCGACACCGTCAGGCGAAATGATGCACTTTGTTGCAATTATCGCTTTTAGGCGGGCGCCGGAGTGGACCCTTGCCATTGGAGACTTTTTGAATAATGCTATTTCGTTGGGAAAAGAGCGCTTGGCCTGAGCTTTTAAATTTTTTCACTGTTCGCAAATTCGTTTTTCTCTTTTTAGCTTTGAGCCAGAGACAACACCAAACTTATCTTGCAAAATTAAGTGCCATAAATATGTAGTCACAGAATTGAATGTAGCCATGCAGTAAAAATCGCGATCTAAAGGGCCTCTCCGTCCCTTTTTAGCACATTTTTAAGGAAAAGGTAAACATAATAATGGTTGCGTAAATATGGCTAGGTTGTTGCTTGCAGCAAGGTCATCACATTTTAATCAAATCTCTCTTAGCTTGCTGCCACCAACTTACCCGGTGCTTAACTGGTGAATTTTTCACACAAGTGTCTTTTAATTTAGTCAGTTTCTCGCGTCTGGGAAGCCTTGAAAATCGCATGAACAACACGCAAAGGCAAAGGAGGCRCTCGACGACTGCTCGTGCATATGCCYTTACGCGGCGGGCGACATGTCAGYAGYGCATTCAAACGCCTTTGTGCGTGTGTGCGTGAAGGAGCAAGGCACACACCCAAGTGTCAACAGCGCCTGCTTGCACACACTTCAATTAGTCGGACGAGTGTTTAACTTGTTACTCGATTAGTTAGAATAAGAATAATTAATCAATGAAATTAAAATTGTAAATTAATGAGCACACACACATAGATACATTGCCCGCACACACACACCCAACCGCCGATACTGCAGCCAGACACAAATCGGAGTGTTTGTAATTGCGCAATCAAGTATTACATCCACTACACGCACACGCACGCACACACGTACATTTGCATGTGTGAATTTGCATACGGCAGAAATGAGAATATGTGTGCGATGCAGCGCAAGGCTGATATCTGCAGCATCTACACGCCGCTAAGGCGACACTTGTATGCCGCAGCACTCGAACGATGTACGACACGGCGCRCCGAAGCATGTGGCACCAACAGATAGACGCGCATTCGTAGCAAGATGTGCCAGCGTATACTTCTGCTGGTTGCAATATCGACAATTCCCCACAGCAGCAGCCACTATGCATGTGTGCGCACATGGGTTCGAGCATGCGTGAGTGCCACCCCCTCCTCACCACAGCGTGAGCAACACTTGAGCAATGCTCGGCGTTGTGATTGCTCGCTTGGATGTCGGCTGCCAGCCTGTTTGCCATTTAATATGATAATTTATGCACGAAATAAATTCCCTTATTTTAAGGCATACCACAGGCACACACACTCGCACACAAGWTGCGCAGGCACTGCAGCCGCACACTCGTATTTCATGCACATGTGTGTCTTCGCCATACATATTCATATGGTGTGTAGGATGAATGCCGTTCCATCCCGGCTCCACGCCACTGCGTCCATCATATTCGCCACATTGAAGGTTGCTCACCGACGCACTTGACTGCTCACTTGCGCTCCTATTTACTGTTTGCTGATTCGGCTGTTCGATTGCTCGCTTACTCGGTTGTGCGGTTCCTCAGCTGCCGTYAGACGGACTTGCGGCTGTGCCGGAACGGAGGGGGGCTGTTTGCGGTTTTCGCAGCAGCATTCTCAAGCATGATGCACATTAAATAAGCCACCGTATTGCCACTTATTTCACAATCTTCGCATATTTCTACGTTTACACGCCACGAATAATACGAGTTGATTAGGGCGAAGCAGCCAAGCAGTTCGAATTCTGTTGAAAATTTCTCTGCAACTTGCAGAAATGAAAATAAAAAACATAACTTTCATAGGCAAATAATTTGGATAAGAACTAAAAATTAGCCTTTTAAATTTGGAATTTTTATCTCAGGAATTTTGAGTTTTCGAGTTTGAAGGAATTAAAAATTAATATATGTCCGTGTCGCAGGTTCGACCCCTCTTAATGCATGTGTGCCGCCACACTAAACAGGCGCGTGGGTGTTTTTTTTTTTTTTTTTTTTTTTTTTTTTTTTTTGAATTTGTTCCACATTTTTTGTGATTAATAAATTTAAAGTATAAGTACCTTTATATGTAGGAGCGAGCATAGTCTCCTCCTTCTCAGCCGATGAAGAATTGTGCAGCGCTCGTGTAGGTGGCAGTTTTGGAATTGAAACTGATGAACATTGTATTCTAGTTAAAACTCCACTACTGCTCCAGTGCTGCTGATATATATTTAACGGCTCGTGGCGGTGCCATTGAGTGCCAATTTTTCGGGGGTTTAAAGACATAAAGCAGAATTGCATAAGCGGGCAGTATACACAATTTAAATATATTTTTCATTCTCGAATTGCTTACAGGTGCGGGTAACSGGGTTCTTATTCACACAWCAGCCTGAAAAACTTAACAAGTTAAMATAYGCATTGATAAAAATGTATAAATAAAGGGTGATCCATTTCGAGGTTCCCTACTCTTTTAAAGAAAAAACACAAAAACTGCAAGTTTAATGAGGAATGTTTATTGTCAATCGAAAGAATACTATTATTATTATTATTTTTTTTTTTTATGTTTTTTTTTTTGTGAAGATAATCTCTTTGAAGTTTTGTACACGTAGCCGCGTCTCAAATGGTCCTTCCGTTGTGTTCAATTTTTGATGATTCGTTCGAGCATTTCGACTGGTAACTGGCGAATGACTCCTAAGCCAGAATCGAAGCGGGAATGTCCGCATTGACCTTAGAACTCACATATCCCCACAGGAAAAAGAATAACGGTATGATATTGGTGAGGCTAATGCCCCAAAATGTTGTGCTCGCCGAAGTGTTCTCTCAATAGATTCATTGATTAATGCGATGTGTAGGAAGTGGTGATGTTTCGTTGAAACCAAATATCCCCAACAGCACGAGTTTCATTTTCAGGTATTAAATTGTCGGTTATCATGGCGTGATAACGGTCGCCATTAAYGGTTAAGTTCTCATCGACATATTAYTTGAAGAAATATGGACCGATGATTCCACCAGCGCACAAGCCATACYAAACCGTTGTTTTGTCTGGATGAAATAGCAGCTTTTGAATCCCTTCAAGTTACTCTTCGYCCAAAATGCGGCAATTTTGCTTGTTTGATACATATTGAGCCAGAAACGGACCTTATAGCAAAAAAAAATTGCCTCGAAAAAGTCGGATATTCATGGAACTATACAAGAGCCCATTGAGCGAAGCACTTGACACTTGGGAAAGTCGAACGGCTTCAGTGCTTACACAGCTGTATGTAAAACGTCGGATCTTCTTGAAACCGATGTCGATGTATTTTGTACGCTTTTCATTTAAGATATGGAGGCCTCGTCGTCCGAGTTGATGCAACTGGCGCCAAATGGACTCCCCACGGTGTTCTGATACACTTTCAGCTACTGCTGCTATAATTTCTTCTCTGCGTGCTGGACGTGGTCTTTTCGGTCGACTATTATAGAATAATGAATTCTGTTTCCCAAGATGCATAATGGCGTTGCAAATAGTAGGCCTATTATGTTGACCAAAAGTTCTTTGTAGAACTTGAATTTTCGTAATAGAGTTGAATGATTTTTAAATGTTGTTCAAGCGTAAGTGTTTTCATTAGAAATGCCAAATATGATGGATTGCCACGACTCACGGCTAATCTGTCAGGCATTTGAAAAAAGTACCTCTATTGATTCACCCGTTACATATACCAAAGTGGATGATAAAATTCAGAGCTCAGCTTTCCTTTTAAAAACACCAAATACTTAAGTGTACCATCTAAAAAAAACTCTTACAAACTCGACTAATTAGTAAGCAAAGCTCGTTTGGAGCTCAAATTTAAAGGCTCGTTTTTATTTGCCGTCACTCGCTGTCGTTTTTCAAGCTTACTTTGCTAAAAGTCTTTATTTAATAATCTTAACATTTGGTCTTTTGCAGGATTGAAGTTGATCCCGAAATTACCAAAACATTGGCTAACTCAGCTGTTTTGCGGGCCGTTGAAGAAGAAGAGCAAATTAAATGCGGTAAGTCAATATCTTTTGTTATTTGTGTTTTGGATTTTTGTGTAAGAAACATTGCGAAAAATGTGTCATCTTTGAACCCGTGTTCCCCTTATTGGAAACGTTTTTCTTATTGTTAAAAATGTGACAGTCCACACAAACCCTTCCAAATAATGTAGCMTGTGTAAGGGGCTCATAACGAGCACACAGTTGCTTAGAAGTGTAAGTAAGTGCAAAAAAGTGCAAAGAAAGTCGTATTTGTAAATTATTTTGCGGAAAATACACAGAGACAGAAATACAAATTTTGCAGTTTTGATGTTGCAAATAATTTCCACGGTTCAGTGTCTTTCAACAAAATAGCGGTTTTTGACAAAGGAAATCCAATCCAAGAACAGCCCTTAAAAAGTACGAGTTCATGAAAACTAAACATCACAAAAGTTATAGTATCACACAGCAACAATGACAGTTCGCAAGTTCGGGCAATGCTTATGGTTTTGAAGAAATCGATTAGGAGTAACCGTTCTTTCAGCAACGATTCACTCTAACCACGTGTGGCACTTAGGCATTACCACTATTGAAAATATTTCGGCTATTTTCCACACTTTAAAATTATTGAAGTAAATCACATTTTCCTTAATTGCAAGCGCATTTAATATTCGGTTGCATCCTAACTKCGCCATTGCTTACCCGTTCACATAATTTTTAAAGTTCGCCGTAATTCTCGAAAACGCCGATAATTTACGCTCAACACTAAAACGAAAAGGCAAAATTTATGGCGAGAGGAAAGTTGGTCTGCAACAAACAACAAAGCGAACCGCCAACAAAAACATGCAAATAGGTAATTCCAGACTAAATTGGTGCAACTCGYAGCCAACAACTGCAAACAAACTCCGAAAAACTTCGATAAACACTGTAACTACACGGCCGAAASTTGTACATAAATGGTGTTGAACAAAGGCGAAATAAAACAAGCAAGGGAGCGCTAAGTAAGGGCGCTGCCGAACACAATTTCGACCAATTATGGGCGCGTTGATGTCCTCAATATGTCTGCATTAATATATTTTTAGAATGTTKAATGTTAATGCCGCGCTGATTATTGAGCAACAAAACTGTTTTACAGCTTTTTAACTGATAGATTCTTAAGCCTTCTCGATCTTGCTCGTTGCTAGTATTAGAGCGCGGTGCAACATGTGTCCGAACTTTCATAAAGATTTCTCAATTTCAACACAAGCGTATCAGTTAATGTGATAAAACTATTATACCCTCTGCATCGCGTTGCAAGCGTATAAACAAAAGGTTGTGTACTTACGAGAGAAAATTCGTGTTGCAACAGTGTTTAATGGACTTCTACGCTAAATCACTAAACTAGCGTCCTTCCTGCTTGCGGTCCAATCAACTGGGCTCGGCTAACTAAGTAACTTGGCCATTTGGCAGTCAAGWTGATCGCTGCCGAGTAAGGCCGTGGCAAAGCGGCGAACGCACGAARCGAACTTGCGCAAACTTCAAAGTTTCTAATTGTTAAACTCGCACGTTCAAATGCGCATATGCAGCACGCAGCCGAACATGCCGCACACACACATACTGGCTGCAGTTAATCGTTCAAAAAATGCCTCGGTAACTTTGTTTTGTGTAAAGCAACACGCTGCATAAGACAGTTTATGTGTTTATGTGCGGCATGCCTAGTGTACTCATCTAACCATACGCTCTCCGACTCCCACCCGCCTCGCGCGCTTGTCGAACTAGCCGAAGTTAGGCAGCGGCCGGCGAAGTTTAGCGCTGAATGCAAAAAGTTTCCAACTACTATGCAGATAAAAAGAAATACCAAACGGCCGAGGGTGGACGGGTAGAGCGCGCGAGCTAGTTCGCCAAAGCCTAGTAGAGGTTACAAGTAAGTAACTAAACTTAGTTCGCAACAATAGTCGTTCGTGAACTCACGGACTATCTGCGCCCCTACTTGCCAGTTGTTGCGATGTTAACAGCTTATATTTTCGTTGCATTATTGATTCACTAAGTTCGCAGGGAAACCATATGAGTCCGTTTGTTTAGTTTCCTTTTACCTTATAACCATGTTGACGTAAAATAAAGAATTTGTTGTGTTGGGAGCGGTGCGTTGCCAACGCTGACAGTTAAATTCCGAACAAAACGACAATGACGGAAAATTATCTTTAAACAAAGTGAACAAAATGCCATAATTTCTACACAGTTTTAATGTWTTCGTTGAACCAATTGTTCGCAWTGCTTGCGGGGAGCTACTAGCTAATGCCTCGGCTAGCCTAGAAGTACTCCATCAAAATAACAGTTTCCAAAAACCTTTGCAACCGCTACCAGCTCTACTTGCGGTATTATAGGGTACTGGACAAAGTCTTTTCGTGTTTCTAATAAAACTTCAACTTATTTTTGCTTTTTTAATTTTCACCTTTTTTAAATGGTTCAAAACTGTTTGATGGTGAACGTTAAATTACTTAACGATGTCATGGCTGCTTATGTAACAGTCCTRGTCAATGTTTTCCATAATTTCATCGACTTTTTCAACGATAGGTCGACYAGAGCGTGGTGCATCTTTCACGTCGAAATTTCCAGAACGGAAGTGAGCGAACCATTGTTGTGCTACACGAACTGATACACTCATTTTTGATCAGCTGTAACTTTTTTCGACTTCCCCGAATTTATTTTTTTTACTCTTACTTTAGCACTGGAGATATACGACTGCGACGACATCTATTGAACGAATACGAAAAGACTTTTTCGACTACTCAATATTTGTGCACATGCACATTAATATTACGGTAAAACCGCAAGTCATTCATGGTCTTCTMGACTAAGCTTCTTTTTCTAAGCTAAGCAGGCTATCTGCATATATGGGTCTGTTCACTAGCAAGTATTGGTGAGAAAAATCTTTAAACACATTTAAACAAAAATCAGTTTACGCTAAGGCTCACCCTCTGTAAACGAAAGTCGAAGAGAAGTTTTGTCTTCCCTTTTAGCAATAATTCGCTGATTCTTATCAGCAGCCTTGCAGTGCGAAGCAGGAGAAACAACTCATTTTATTTTTGCAACTTTTAATGGTTCACCAAATGCAGGCAGACACACATGCGTGTTTGTATATAAATACATGCACACACATACACATACACAAGTGAAAGCTACAGGCATGCAMATAAATTTTAATTAAACTCAAATTGCTTGAAAGATCCATGAGCGTGTTGCTGTTCAATTAAGTTTTTCACTTGTGTAAGSAATGACAAATACAAAAACAACAAAACAGCTACAGCGAAGTGCAGAACTCTAGCGAATGACTTTGCCTCACAGCCAATTAGTTGAGCGGTGGGTAGAAGGTGGTAAGTATAKGAAATTGCTTACTCACAATTTCCCAATTGATTGCGCAGTTCGAGAGCATTCAAAAACTTTCTAGCTTCAGAGCGCGACTCACGCAGCCCCAAAGGCTGCCTCTCTTGCAGCACGAGGCGCGCTACAATGACAACACTTCGCTTTAGGAAAAACCGCTTTGAAGCGCCTCCTTCAGTTTGCAGCACTATTTGACTTCCTTGCGCTCTTTTTCAAAAATCATCATTATTTGTTAAGTACAACAACCTCCGCTAACCGAGATTACCAGCAACATACCGAGTTGCCCAGTGCAATATGCTTGCCACCACGCAGTCCACCGCAAGCAATAGGCTCCAAATATGTCATGTGACTCTCATATTTGTGTGCGTGTGCAAAAAATTTTAATATTTAATAAATTCATAATTTTCCATTTTACTGAGCAACAGGCTAATATGCGCATTATGCATAAAGTGTAAGCCTGTTGTAAGCTTACAACATAATAAATACTGTAATGCGTGTAAGCTCCACTGAATTTGTAATTTATGCAAATGAAATGGTGATTTAAAGCCAAAACAACAACGAAACAATACTACCACACTCCTATATACCACGACAGTCATAGCAACAAATCATAGCGCGCACACACACCCACAGTCAAGCACACATACACAAATTCGAAGGGATTGCGTATTGATGATCAGTGTGTATGTATGTGTGCCGCTTGGCACGTGCCTTTGCGACAAAATTTATTATTTGCCAAATTACTTCATAATAAGGCGCAAAGCACAAACAAGTTTGTATTTAAAGTAACAACAAATACTACAGTTACTGGTAACTGGTAACTGGTATTACGAATGCACATACACACATATGTAAATACTTATGCAAGCGATGTTCGATGCCGGGGCACGTGCTCCGCAGGAGAGCTGCTGTGGCACTATTTGCACAACCTCACTCCCAATTAGAGACAAATAAATACACGCGTATGTATGTGTGTACGTTTGCTTGTACGTACGRTATACATGGCGTATGAGTAATTTGCATTTYGGATCTAATGAGCCAGGCGCTGTGTGTGAATGTGCAGTTGCTCATTTTCATTGAAGTTGTGCATGTTTGTGCATGCGTACACCTGTTCGCGTGAGTATGGAAACAAATGAAAATTTYGCACGTCGTTCATTTATTGTTACACTCGCACAGCTTTGCTATTTATTTTGATTGATTGAAAACTTATTTACTCATTTATAAGCTTAGATAAGCACTTAATTTCGTAAGCTTTTGTTTCCTGCATATTTTGGAACGATACTTGATTTCCAAATTTCAAAATCAGTTTGGCAATTTAATTGCAACTTTCGTGCCAGTTGGCGCTGAGTTAGAGCAATTTCCATAATTAATGGCAAGGACTCCATTTATCGACAGCCTCAATTAGCTCACTGCCGACGCAAACAAATGGTCAGCAGCGGCTGCAGTTCATGCTTCAATATCCAGACATTAGAGGCAACATGAGCATAAGGCTGTATGTGCCTGGTAATAYGATAGATGAAATTTTCTCGCTTCAATTAATCATCGTAGTGTAGATGAGCGGTGAGAGCAATTATCTGTCCCAACGAAGCTACCAGAGTCAACCTTAAAGACACTATGCCAGAATTTAACCTCATCAAAAGCTTTTTGAAGGTGCTTGTACTGACTGAAGGCTTTCGGACCCATATCTGTCACTAACCATACATTGTGGATCAGTTATCTTGCTCCTGATATAGACACTTAGTCTTGATCTAGCCTGATGTATTGACATTAACGGATTTCACTGTTTTTAACTCTTCGTATTAAACTCGTGAATAAGCCAAGCCAATATTTCTATAAATGTAAGCGCTTAAGTTGGAAATGATGTTGCCCTGATGCCCATCACTGTTGCATACAAGGCAAGTTTTTATGTGGTAACAGGGCTTATCTTTGGCGAACATTTCATTATCTCTGCTGCTGACACAACTCTTTAGTGTCTTGTGCACTTAAACAGCCGCACAATATTTAGTGCCAGTGGCCGTTTGGTAACTGGCCACACTCAGGCACTCTGACCCAGCAGCTGCACGACCACGTGTTCGCTTATATGTATGTCTCGAAAGCCGTACATTGTATTAGCACTTAACTACAGCCAAACTGCAAACTTCAGCCACGCATTGCCACTCCACAGCCATGCATGCTACGATCCCTAAGTCTTTCTCGCTCTGCATCTCAGCTTATATGCATACGTTTTGCCAGAGTGCTGATAGCTTAAATAGGCAAGCTGGCTTATTAAAAGACGCTTGACTCTTCAGCAACTGGGGTGACTGTGGTAATGGTTTTTGTTGCAAGCAAACAATAACTTGAGTAAGTGTGCTTACTRTCTGTATATCCACATATCAGCGCCAACAAACGCACAAATGCACACATGAAGATATGTATGTTTGTGAGAGTTTGCTCATATYTCCGCAATCGCACATGATCCACAAAATATGGCTAATGTTCGAGCGACTTATCTTAGAAGTGGCAACATACAAGTGCATACAAGAGCATTTGCTGCAGATACCCCGAATATGCACATTGACATCGCTCTCGAAAATAATGGCAATAAGACTAGAAATTCAGAGCAAAGTCTTGTTTCAAACAAAGGTGAATTGAAGAATATTTAACAATAACGGAAAGCTCTTCACTTAAATAGTTTTGTTATTGCCGTCAAARCAATAACAACGAAAAMGAAAGTGGAACAGAAAATGACAAGAAGGGAAGTACTAATATTTTTGTAGAGAATAGTAGATCCACTTACGAACTCAGATATGTCCAAGTCTTAACCACTTCTGGCTTCAGAACTTTAACCAAACAACAYAAAATGTTACAAGAACCCCCTCCCTCTCTCTTGGTTCGTTGAGAAATTTCAGACCACGGTGTTTATTGGAAGCTCGTAGTAAATAATTTTAATTCATTGTGTTACGAATACATATTTATATACATTTTCTTGCGGTACACATATCTACATACATATTTCAGCAAACTAAGCATGGAGCATCGTTAGAGAAGTGTCGGAGTTGGAGAAGTTTTGCGCTCATGTTATGTTTGCCATGTTGGTCAAGTTATACATATGTGTGCGTGTTTGTGTGTGTTTGTTCAATATTACCACCATATTTGAAGTTCAACAAGCTTTCGGCGTCATGCATTGTTAGTTGCTTAAACATGGGATTATAACAGCATACTCACACACACACAAGTACACAGCTGTACACAGTGCAAGGCATAAATGGCCTAAGCGTTCGCAGAATCTACGTAAGCAATAAATACATGACCAAATATTGAAACAAGACACCAAATACAGATAAGAACTTCTAGCAGGCYTTAGATGTGAACGGCTTTATATTATATAACAGTATTTATTAAATAGCACCATACAAAGGCTAAAATATCAAAAAATTGTTTTCGATTTCATCATTTCTGTCTAATATTTTCCCTTTTGTAATGGACATAATTAGAAAACTGAAATGCTCTGTGATACACTAATTTTCCACAACTCTTCAGCTTTAAAAGCATATAGAAATGTGTACCACAAACTACTGTGGGAAAAATAGTAATAGTTTTTACTTTAAATTTCGCTAATTATTCAAAGAGGATCGAGAACGCATAGACGACGAACCACGTTCAAAGGAATTGGTGCTTGAGAGTTGCCAATTAATAGTCAGAGCATCGTTAGAAACAACTGCTTCGAAGATTGAAAATAACGCTGGCACAAGTGTATTGCTGCCAAGGAGGATTACTTTAAGGGAACGTCATAGATTTTGTAGAGAAAAATTAAATTTAAAAATAAAAAACAAAGTCTTGGTATTGCTATTTTTGGTCCATTGTAATATACACAAATATTTTGCTACAAATCTCGAAAAATAAACTTTTTGATACGCTGAATCACAGCGGGCAACTATTTTTAAAAATTAGCTGGTATAGATATTCCATTTTGAGTACACAACAAGAGTCTAACAAAAGCACTATCTTCTTCTCCTTTATTTTCCACACTTTCCAAACGGCACCGAATCTGTATTTCTTATGATATATAATTTTTGAATATATTTTCACTTAGTTGATACAGTGTGAATTTGTTGCTGCAGCAAACGTTCGGCAGCAATGTGTAACAACAATTCGAAAATAGAAGAATAAATGAAACACTTTGGCAGCTATTTTTAAAATATTCACCTTGCGCTACATAGTATATGAGAGAGACGCGTTGCCATCTGTGTGTATATATATATAGTATAAATACTAATAGATGTGTACGCACACCTAAATACCTTTAAATAAGCAGCAAACTAGTCATGAAATATAGCATTTTATAAGCAGACATACATTTCACATAGGTATGTCTGGTTATAAAATATAAACTGGATAGCAAAACAGCTGACTTATACCAAGTATAGAACGATCCGATACCTGAATAAAACACATAAATACAGGATGGATTGTATACGCTTGCAATGCATACTAGTTGCAAAGTAATTGATAACTAGTCGATTGGACTGCTGGGTTTGCGTATGATCCATAAATATTTCAGCGAGCTAAGCAGCAGCTGGTTAAATTGAAAAAAAAGATTAAAAACAACAATGACAAGTTGGCATCATTATGAAATTATAAGAAGATAGCAGCAYTGCCGCTTTTCGAAAATTCGATTAACAAAGTGTGTGAAAATACAATGTCGCAAAAATCTTCAAAAATATCACAATTATACTGAATACAATTCTTGTGGTAATATTAAGTTCCYTAGCCACATTTTCATATCTTTTCGAATGTTTTTATTCAGGGTAGTCGAAAAAGTATTTTCGTATTTCTAATTAAACTTCAACTCATTTCTTTTTATATTTATAATGAACTAAAAATGTACCATTTTTATCGAACACTTTTTGAAATTTTTTTCTGCTCGAAACAATAGATTCACTGTGTAAGTGTWTTCCGGTTTCTCGGCGAAAAACTRCGACAAGTCATTTTCTCAGAATTCTCTTGAAGCAAGCCTTWCTTCATTAAGAGAGTTCTGCATTGACCGAAACAAATGGTGCAATGTCAGTGTTATATTGTGGATGCGTCAAAACTTCYCAGCCAAGCTCTCTCAGTTTTTGCCGAGTCATCAATGATGCGTGTKTTCTAGCGTTGTCCTGATGGAAGACGAAGCKCTTTTTGTTGATCAATTCTGGTCGCTTTTTTCGATTGCATACTTAGATCTCACCAGTTTTTGACAGTAAAATCGTTCGACTAGGGTAGAGCAGCTCATAGTGGATGATCTATTAAATTTTTCACAGACAGTTCATGTGGTACCCAAACATCGAGTTTTTTCTTTGTAGCCAGCTTTTTTTAAATGGTTCCAACCGTTTGATGATGAATATTAAGTTCCTTAGCGATGTCATGGCTACTTATGTGAMGGTCCTGGYCAATATTTTCCATAAYTTCATCGACWTTTTCAAKGATWGRTCGACCAGAGCRAGGTCTTTCACATCGAAGTTCYCGGAACGGAAGCGASCGAACMATWGTTGTGMTACACGAACCGATACAGCATCGTCTTCGCAAACTTCGGGAATTTCATTGCTGGCATTCATGCCATTCTTACCTTTTTTATACAAAAATTTCAAAATATAGTGAGTTTCTTCATTATTTTCACTCATTTTTGAACAGCTGTAACTTTTTTCAACTTCTTCAATTTATTTATTTTTTTTTTTTTGGCTAAATGAAGCTTTAAATCTCACCTTTTCAACAACGACTGCAACATCATGTATTGACAAAATACGAAAATACTTTTTCGACTACCCAATATTCTCTTATAAACCTGATATTTCGAGATCTTTATACATTGAATTGTATTACAGACATGATTTACTAATTTTGACGCGTTGGAATTTCCAGTCCAATTTTTAATATCTCAGCGGAAATTTTGGAAAATCATCAATCTCATGTCTTCATATATATATATATTATAATTATTTTATTTATGAATTATGTACGTGTTGCAGATTGTTGTTGTACTCAAGCTGTGTTGCTAAGTAACGCTATCCATCTAACGGAAACATTATAATAACTCACTGTAATACACTCAAATGTGTGTCTGTGTACGTGTGTCCGCGAGTAAAATTCAAAACCCCAGTATGGTATATCCCCGCCGGCAATTTTTAATGTTAATTGTGCAATTTGTCACAATAGAAAGCAAAATATTAATGCAAGTCTATTTATGCGTGTGTTTGTCCCCCGAAAACAACAATGGCGACCGCAACTTAACGGAAAATAACGAATATTCAAATCAAACGCTAACAATCAACTACAAATGGCCAACTATAATGACCGACATCGACAAAAACCAAAAAAAAAAATCGAAAAAAATTATCTAGAAGAACTTGCAACACGCTCGCTCCGAACAGATGTTGCTTGTGAACGGCAAAGTCGCCCGCGGCAGCGCAGACCGCACCCTACAGCGTCTGAGTACTATGAGCAGYACTATGACCAAGTCATGCACACACCGGTGCACCAGCAGCAGTTGGAGCAAATCAAAACGCAATACCTGTGCCATCAGCACGACATCACCATTGACCGTGATACGGTGTTGAAGATAAATCGCCTTGCCACACGCAGGAATTTGCATAAACGCGACCACAGCTGGCCGCCACCGTGCAGCGATTACGCTATGAGGGCTGAAACCATTGCTCCAAGCACTAAGACCGAGGTGGCAGTGGGCCGAGGAACGCAATCACTCACACACTCGCGTAGTACTTCGAGAGAACAGCAAAGCCATCAATTGCGACATGAACAGCAACTAAAGCAACAACAACATAAAGCCAAAAGCAGTTGTACAAACAATGCATTGCACTTCGCGGAGAGCGTTTGTAAGCAGCACGGCATCGATGCGATACGTGAGAAATTCAATAGTCCCACGCGAATAATTGAACCGACGCCCACCGAGTTGCGGCAACGCAATAAAATGGAGCAATTGCAGTTTCRAAAGCAAAAACTACAGAAAAATGCGACAAATAAATCAGCACGTGTCACCGATAGCTCCCCTGAGACGCGCACGAACATCTCTACCGTTGGCGCTGTTGGCAAGGCGCAACAAACATTGACAAATGCGTACAATAACACGGCTAATACATCATCGGTCAATGCGGCTGCAGATTCTTTAGGGTCCACCATCGCGCCGAATGTGGCGACCACCAGTTGGCCTGCAGCCATAAAAAATGATGAGATGGGAGGGGAGTTGACTAATATTGCCACCACTAACAGCTTCGATGCTTCACATGATTACAGTACGCCGGTGGCGCGCGGCTTCTCCGCACCCGAAACAAAAGCGGCCGATGAAAATATTGGATTGGTGGAGCCACGCCGCTATTATTTCGAACAATTGGCGCGACGCGATGAAGGACCGCCTAAAAAATGGCACAGTTATGACAATATTGTCGCTGCCACATCGGAGCAACAACAAATCACCAAGCAAAGTGTTGCAACAGCCGCCATCAATAATAATAGACAATCACAGTCGCTAGATCGCGGACGTGCACAGCAACAGCGTAGACGGGAACAGTTGCCACCACAAAAGCCACGGTCAGCYGGCGGTGCGGCCAGTGGTGGCAGTAGTCCCGCAGCGCGTATCACACCAGTAAGCAGTACAAGCGAATTCAATGTAACGCCACTGAAAAGCGAAAGCAGCGATTTTGGAGATAGTCGCACTGGCGTGGCAAAGCCAACGCTACTGACGAGCCATCAATCAAGATCGAGTGAAGGCATRTCACCGCGCGTACAGCGACGTGCCATTAAATTGGCAACCGAAATAAAAATATGTTACGATGACTCGGGCACTGTTCAATCATTCGGTTCAACTGCTGCGCACTTGGATGATAACGGTGGCTTGGCTTCCAGTAATAAGCGACAAATTCAAACCGAAGCTACCAAAGCTGCAAAGCYTCAAAAGAGTAACGGTAAAAGACTGCCAGCAGAGCCAGTTGGCATACAGTCGATAGGCGACCTGGAAGACATACCACTGCCGCCGCCACCAAAAGTTGGASCCTGCATGAGTTCCGAACCTTCAATTGTGGTGCARCGAACCCAGAAATCGTCCAGCCAAACACAAACACAACAACAACAAAGACGACGCTGTAATAGCGAAAGAATCATACCAATCGAACTGGAGAAGCATRACCTACCTGAATACCGTGCACCACTTAAAGAAGCGCCACGTCGCGATCTTAGCACCGTTAGCGYGGATCAGCTTTACGATGATGCTTGCATCTATTTGCGTTCAATCGATTTKGATGACCGAACCGTCGCATATATACCCGCCGCAATTACAATTGTACCCTCACCCCCTGAGGAAATGTTGCAACATGCGGCAGCTGATGGACGTCCGCAGATCCTTAAGGCCGGCATAGTTACTAGGACAAGAAAAGAGCAGCCTCCGTCAGTTACTGCTCGTACATCGTCGCAAACGGTCGCCACCATGCCAAGAACAAATACCGAAAAATCCACCTCAGTAGCTGGATCTTCGAAGCAGTCAATTGCTAGTGAGCCTATTAATAGGAAGAGTAATAATAAAGTTCGTTACAATAGTGGCCATAAAATGAACGTGCCACCAACCGAACCGAACGWGGCTCAGTACAAAAAACTCACACGCTCAGACGCACACCAATTACCCATATATAATACYTCCGATATAAAATTGAATGCAGCACAACCAAAAAACCAGCAGACAGCGATGGGAAAAGCCCACGAAAATGAAGTTGCCAAAAACAACATACAAGCCGCCGCAGAACAACAGGGCCAACAAAGAATACGGTCCAATCGACCTCGCGGTATTTACTATACCGATGGTGAATACTTGTATGGGCCATTTGGTGAGATTCCTGACACGTTTGAAACACACATTACACCAACAGTAAAGACAGCACCAGAAGAGGCGTCCAGATCCGCAGCTGCCACTGGTGACAGCAAACGAAATTGTGCTGATGGAAATGAGTGGCAAATAAACAACAAGGCGACGAAGGCACGGCAGAAAGAGCAACAACAAAAGGCAGCATGTCGCAATACAATAAACATGCAACACGCTCGGTTGGCGCCAACGACAACGGTGGAGCCAACTAATGAAGGACCAAGTCGAAATTCTGAACTAATGGAAGTGTCAGAAGCAGAACTGCAGGGGAAAAATGCTGCCGAAATAGCGGCGCTCGAAACAAAATATGGACGCTTTCAGCAATCCATTGCCGAGCATCTGCGTCAAATTGACACCTACATGGAAAATGCAAAAGCCGCGCTAAATCGCAGTTTACCTCATCCACAACAGGGGCATGAGCATGAAGATGGCGAAACCTCCCTSCCGAAAGCATCACGACAATCAGCTCCACAAACAACCAAAATTCAACCAGAACAGTCTCAGCTATTGGACCAACGAGGCGTCGAARCCACGCTCGCAAYGGAGAGCCCCCTCCACWCTATAGCCCGTCAGTGGTTGCCACACCGACSGCTGCACATTGTTAGTGACACTGATGACAATCTGCATGAAATGGAAGCTCTTGTGCATCCTGCCGTGCTGGAAAATATGCCTGTGGTTGAGCAGGCTCTGCAGGATTTGTCCGCTATTAAGGTAGATGGTACAGCAGCAAATCTGACGGCCAAGTATGCGGGCGATTTAGGAAGTCGACGTGGCGACGATGGCAGTGTGTTACAGCCACTAATGCGTCGTCTGATTGCGGTGCAAAGCAAACAGCCGAGCGCAGCACTTCCCGACCACGCAGTCATTTTGAAGGATCRTAAAGATATCGAAGGATTGCTGCTGATTGAACACCATATTGCACCCACTGCAAGTTTAGCGAAACGTGTGACTATATTGGAAAATCTGGACGATGCCGCTGCTCCGCCTTGGCGTAAGCCTAGTAATATCGTCCTAATTGGAATTGAAGAAGGCAATAAGGAGTATAATGCTAGCGACGAGATTGGAGCGGTAAATGRCAAAATTGATGACAGCAATAATTGCAAGCGCTCAGCAGATAAGAGTTGTAATAACATTGCTGAGCCGAAGGAAGATCCAACCATGACTGAAATGTATGCGGATAATGAAAACGTGCCAGTTAATATTACAAACATGGTTGATGAAGATGAAGATGAAAATCAGCAGGCGCCTGCAGATACTAGCGGTCGATTCGGTCACAAAATCAACTCGAAATTAGGCGCTAAATCAACAAGTACTTTCGATATAATAACGGCAGGTGAAGTCACCAACGAACATGTGATTGATGCTGTTGGCAATTATGAGCAACTAATGCAGTTGCAACAAGGCATGACGCCGGCAGCGGGTCCAAAAACAACAGCAGTAACTAAAAGCAAGCAGCCACAAACACAAAAACAACACTTTCAGGAGGTTTCACTCAATCACCCAGACCTGTGTACTGCAAAAACAGCACCCATACCGAGACAACGTGCAACCACATTGACAAGAGAAAAGCCTACAGTAAGCACAATTGGAGCACGACCAGCACTCACAGTGGCGGCGGACGAAGGGGGAAGCGAGCTACATAAGACCGTCGCTAGCCGCTGGCAAAGTGAGTCCTTGCGACGACAACAAMRCCAACAAGAACAACCGTCTGAAACATCRCAATTTCCAACTCCACCAATACCGCCACCACTRCCGCCACTGACCCGTGCGGGAAGCTTGCCGAAAGATTTATGCAAAAGTKTGGTTTCTGGTTATATTTCCACGCAYCAATCGCAGGAGCAGCTGGTGGGACAGGTAATTGACAAGCTGCAGGTGRATGTGKCATTGCAACGAGATTGCGAGCAACTAAGGCAAGCAGAGCCAGAAAATTCAGACAACAATGAATCCGTAGCTGCAATTGCAATCGCAACCTCAAATCAAGATCGTCTCAGAGATCCGTTAGGTGAGCAACGACAGCCTGCCGAAGAATTTGCAATGCAACAACTAAATAAACAGCAATCAGCAATTCTACCAATAACAAAGAGTAACCAAAAACCATGCGACCAACAGAATGCGCAATCAAGTGAAATCACAATTCCAAGCAGCAGGATTAACGCCCACTCTGCGGAAGCCACAAGGGCTGCTCACGGCACTGCTACAGCGACAGCATCACAGCTGGCTGCACAGAAGGTGGTAACAGAYGAATCAMCAATAACGGGTTTAACTTCAGGAGGACYACATAGCCGAACGATTGCCGGGCGTCGAGGCAAATTAACGGTGCATATCAATGGAGACAATAAAAACTATCTTGAGTCGAACAGCACGGATGGTTTCGATACGTACAAAGCYACCTACGAAATACCTAGCCCCTGTTTTAAGCAGCAAATAATCTGGAAGCAAACAGTCAATGTGCCACAAATTAAAGACACCAAATTCGCCACTGCCTCAGAGCTAGGCAGACACAGCGAAGACAACAACGATATGCATTCCGATGCAAAAGCCGGGGATGAAGCAACTGCAAGCAATCAATCACTTACTACAGCCAAGCTTCAGTTTGTCAAACAGCAATCAAGGACTCCCTCTCCGGCCGCTTTGAAAACAGGTCTACAGCCACCTACCGCCACTCGATGCTCACGCAGTCGCTCCAAAAGCCCATGCCCAACGCAAGCCAACCGCTCACCCACACGCAAATATCCCGCCGCATTAATTGAACCTAACGCACCKACCCGTACCGCCTCACCATTTGGTCTGAATCCGCTCGACATCACCGACCTGATTGATGACACTWCCCACGCGTATCGTGACCATGGTGTGGAGCTCTCCAAACGCACTTCGAGCGCTCAATTAGGCGACACCAAATTCGCCTGCTCGCCGGCAACGGGTAGGCAGTTGRCCGAGTTTGTGCCACAGGTGGAAGGTCACAATGTTGGTTTATTGGTGCGTGCATCTRTGGATACACAATCACAGCAGCAATGGGAGAAAAAAGTGCGGAGTGTGCCACATAACATCGCCACGCAATGCAACGAAAAGGCGCAAATTGAAATGGACAATGCACTCACGCACAGCGCCGCCACGCATTATGCTGATGCCGGGAGTAGTGATGATGATGTTGACTACTGTGTCGACGAGCGGCAACAGCATATCGCCGACAGTGACAAACACTCCATAAAAGGTCCTACGCCAGCKGTCCCTTTAACACCATCCCCATCCTTGACATACTGTGCACGTGCTGGCAGCTGGCAACCGATGATGAGCGAGCGGGTGCATGACGCCTGCCGTAATGAAACGGTGACGACACCAAYAMGGTCGTTGGCTGGTAGCAGTGTGGCTGATTCAAACGCCACCGCGGTCGGGATGGGAGAATCGGATTCTCTGCCTGSACGCCAGCGGGGACACCTCCGCGAAGCGCGACAACAAGAAGTAGTCCTGGACAACGACAGCCGACAGCAAAGCCTAGATACCGTTGGTGAGCCTGCAGTCGCAACGCCACGTGAGAGTGGCATTATTAATCGCTCGTTCGATAATGTTTCACCACGTCCCTACATCAGCGTCGAAGGTACGTGCGACTACTGTTATGCGTGTGGAAATAATATGTCGTGTTTCTGTGCTCTCGTGTTGTCACAGTACAGGACTCCTATGTGTTGGCTATCATATGTGGCACGTGTTCAAGTATCGTGTGTTGCACGTGATACTGAATGGATAGCGAATTGATGTGCAACTGTTTGTTGGTTTTTGTTTATATTATCGCTAAGAATCCGGTTGCTTAAGTCCGATACATTTGTTATACAATATTCTAAAGCATACTCTGGGGAGAGATTTCCTAGAGACATGTGTAGGGGTTACACCTTGCCAAAAGTCCCACATAAATCGATCTTTAGTATTGTCAGTGGAAAGACGAAATTACTTTCTCGCATTGTTAAACCCTGTTTGCTTTAATAAAGACGTATTGTCTCTCTGATAATCCGCAGGTTCTCACAATGCTTTCGTACGCTTTACCAATGGTTTTTATACATATTAACAAAAATACATACAAAAAAATCTTCTCATGGCTTTTTTAAGGCCTCTATTTCGTATATCATATATTCCAGGCGCTTTGGAGTTTTTGATTTTTTTCGCAATAGCTAATAGTTATTCTTCTGTKACTAATAGGGGTGGCTCTGYAKCTTCGTTTCGGGAATAATGCTTCGACAACATTTCGCATAAATGATAAAGGGTTCGTAGGTTGCTGTTCTATGCCGTTCTACAGGGGTTTGTGCTTGTTTCTTCACAGAGCTTTTCGAAACAGGAGCTGGTTGACGTCAGGAGCTTTTTTTGGCTACTCGGTTATTAAAAAAAAATATGTTTATAACGTCCTGGTCTCAAACAGAGCTAATTGAAAGTATTCACGTATAAAGCCTCTTACCATTTCGAAAGATGAGCAGGTGTGTTTTACCCCCTTACAACGATTGAAAATCTTCAAGCTYCCAGCTTTCGTGAAATAAAAATGGTAAAGAAAACTTTTGGCAATTAATCAAAAGAAGGAAGTGTGTGAAGACTCCTGTCTARTTGCATTTTTTGGTTCACAAATCTCCTAAAAGTCAGATAAATAATTACGCCAACAGGGCAGCCATTGAGGGAATCGCGAGCAACCCGTATTTGAATTACCTTARATATACACACATCTAAAATATCCACCTGACTTACTCATTTGCTTATCGTGAATAATGATTTAATCCCAAACTGAATGCAACCGTTCTGACAACAGTCAAAACTTTTTTTGTAATGATTAATACAACACTAAACCGACGAGTAGCGATAAAAGAGAAAAAAAACATAATTATATGCGTTATATACGCCAACAGACACTTACTGAGGTATATGTATGTAAACAAGACAGGCAAGAGGAGACAGGCATGTTTGTACGAGGAGATAATAATTCATGCGCCGACAGGATGAAATTAATTAACATGAAATGCTAATGAAATTTTAATATCTCCGCTACATGTCGCTCATAAAGTTCCGTTTTCGTGGATTTCGCGGTAACGCATAGTCTCGCCTAAGCCGTTAAGTATCGTGTTGGCGGATATTGTAAGCGGCAGCTTTCATAAAAAGTATGAACCTTTCTCAAATTTTTAAGGCATTCACACAAACRCACACAAACCGCCAAAGCCCAGCGCCCTCATCTATTTGTATGCATCACATAAATACTGTCAAATTAGCCATTCAACGGTCCTGCTGAAATGGGTCTTGCTTATCATCGCCAAATGATGGATACACAAAAGTACGAAAGCTGTCATTTTTCGCCGTCAGCGCAGATACAGTTAATGCGAAAATGTTAACATTTTCTATTAATCTGACAAAAGTTCTACCAGAATCACTAAAAAAGTGTATGTCAAAAGCTTTGAATCAAGYTAAACCCAAGCATATCACAGTTTTTGGAAAGAAAACCCCGGGTTACATAATGCTCCGTAGATTGTGTGAAATGATTACTTAAATGATTCAAGTAAAGCGCCAATCCTGATCAGTTTYATGACTCACTAAAGCAATAAAACTCAAATAAGGCGAAAAAAATCAAAACTGAAAAATTTGCATTGTGAAGCGTGTCGGCATCATTAAATACTGTCGGCAGTATTGCTGTTTCTATGTATGTGTAAGATGTGCATCTGATCTGCCCTTTCCACGGCGCACAGCTCATAATAAATTATACTTAAGGCTTGCAAGTACGGCGTCATGAACGAGACCATCGCTACGCGTCGTCCTTTGTGGATGCCCTCATCGTCCGAAGCCTGCTTGTTGCTTACCGCAAGTTCCCGCTGTCTTCGCCGATATTTCCTATGCGACACGGCACACTCTGTGCCATAGACCTTCACACACGCTTTTCATTTCGACGCTTTATTAATTTAGCAACGATTCACATACATTGCGCTCCTCTCGCTCAGCATAGATAGCTACTTTATGTTATGCTCGCGTGTGAAGTGAAAATATTTGTTGTTGCCGCTGAGCAGGATATCCTTATTGCTGTTGTTATTAATTTGAGCATTTATATACATTATACGTTTTGCTGTTGTTGCTGCGTTTACACTTTTTAATGGCAATGGAGATTAATTTTTTCTCTAATAATATAGGAGACAATGCTTCCATTTAACTTAAGAAGCCGAGCCGAAAAGAAAATACTGGGAGGTTGTTCATCAAATTAAAGTTACTTATATAGTAGATGTTTTTTAATGTGATGCATCGATTGGTGGTTGCTATTTTCGATTCCTCGATGTGTTTATTCGATAGTAGATTTTCCACTTACTTCCTTCAGCTCATAAAGTATTGTCATCCTTATCAAATTTTTAAAAGGTTAAAGAGCTCAAACATGTGCTTCTTCATTCTTCAAATAATTATTTCATGATGAACTACTTAGTCTTTGGCGATTTTTTTTTCGGCTCTTTTTTCTCACCATTCCGATGATTGTTGATCGTTTTGCATTTCAAACTCATAAGTCTATGTCTCATCAGCAGTTATAATGTTCACGCACGTTCAAGCATGTCCAAAGAGACCTGTTTGCAGTGCGCTTTTTGACAAAAATGCAGCTTTATCGGAAGAAGTTTCATACCCAAAATATCCACCAAATCAGTCGAACAGACTCGTAAAAGGTTTCGAGACATCTCTCTAACACTTGTCAGATGAGTTTCAAGCATTCTATTATTCACTTTTTTAATATTTTCATCAGTTGCATCGGTCGAAGGTCGCCCAGAACAAGGCATGTTTTCAAAGATYTCTCGACCGTCTTTGAAAGTTTTGTACCGCTCATAGAATCTTATTTTTAATAAACCTGAGTTAGCGTAAGCCTTTTCCAACATTCACACTGATTCCTCACACAAAATTTGGTTAGAAATACAAAATTTGAGAAAAATTCTATCTTCGATATTTGTATCCATTGTAAAAATCCCAATCCCTTTGTCCTTATTGTATATCGGCTCTTATAACTCATCTCTCTAGCTCCATACTATGGCGGAATACGTAGAGTTCCGCAAAATGCGGACCTCGCCCATTCAAATGCAACCATGACGTTGTACTAATGTCATTCCTAGCCTGCATGTGTTTCAATTTATTCGAAATAATGTCAAAAATATTGTTATTTACGTCACATTGTCTGCTATTTCGTCCATTTGGCAGGTCAGGGCAAGTTAGTCGAATTTCCACTTTTAGCTTACAAATATTTCGTTTCATTAACTTCATTTTTGTTTTACCCGTTTTGTGCTGCGCAGGCGGTACGTGTGTTGATGTGCGTCCAGATACTTTGTAAGCGGCTTAAAAGCGCGCTTTTGTACTTGTTTATTTTATGTCTTAAGTTTGCTTACATTTTGCCTTAACAACAGCCATTCGGCCTACATTCGCTCTGCATCCTTTTTCGATTTGATGCGCAAGACAAATATTGGTATTCCTTTTCATTCGCAAACGCGAACCGCTCGAAGACAGGCACAGCATTCTAAGAGCCTTAAATGGAACCCTTTTTCGCTCAAAAATCTCGTCAGTCAGCACTTTTATAAACAACGGCTAAAGCGATTTGGCGCGGCTTACATATTCTCCTCAGACTAAAACAAGTGCACCTGCGTGCCAAAGAGTTGAAATATTTACCACGAGTGGAATGGGAATGCTGTAAAGCCGCGGTTGCGGTGCTAATAAACGGTGCTGAGAATTTTATAAGGTGATTAGCGTTGAGCTATTTACACATCGGCTAATTATTATTTATGGAAATTTTTAATTACGAAAAGGTGAAGCTTTTATCAATGCTACTGCTTGTTTAGAATTGTGGAATTGACGTGCCGTTAAAGATATGGGTAGATTTATTATGCGCCTCTACCAACATATTAATTGAATATCATACAGTTGTTTACCTTATTTAATTGAAAATTTATTTCTAGTTCTTTATTATATGCTCACCGCATGAGTCTTTGTCCCGCAACCCAAGCCGTTTCAATGGCCACAAAGCGCTACTGCGGCAATCCACTTAAAAAACCGCAAGCCCATAACTATTTGAGTCGAAACCATAAAATCGCCATTTTTCATCGGCTCGTTGCAATTTAATGAATGTGTTTTCTTACTGCCACAAGCAGCAAGCGACATATTTTAATTACAATGCGACTCGCGTTTGCACTGCCTGCCACGTAAGCGATACGGACAATGCGAATGAATGTATAGTATACACGTTTGTGCAGTCATGTTTAGTGCCTACGTAGATTAAATTATAGCCACATTAATAATGTGAAGCTAAAATAAATGCAAAAAATTGTGCACCAAAGCAACTCGAACAGTTCYTTACCCCTGCGCTTTGCTGGCCGGCGCGCTAATTTTTACATCATTCCATTACACCCAAATCGCGACGGTGCTAAATACCTTATATGCTGTAAACATTATTCAAAATATATTCAAAAACTACAAAAATTGTTTAATATTCTTCTCGAATTATTTTTCTATGAAATGCAAATCCTTTAAATAACTAAATATTTAACGAAAATAATGCAAAGCATTTTATATTTAGCTGGCAAAGCAAAAAAAGAAAAGCAGCGCGTGTTCGTRTGCGWATTG